TGGAGAACGTGATCCGGGACGCCGTCACCTACACCGAGCACGCCAAGCGCAAGACCGTCACCGCCATGGACGTGGTCTACGCGCTCAAGCGCCAGGGTCGCACTCTCTACGGCTTCGGCGGCTAAAATCTTGCTCTTCCAATTTGAATTCTACTTTACAAAGGCCCTTTTCAGGGCCACCCATTTCCTCAAAAGAAGAGCTGGCACGGGATGGTGCAAGGTGTCTGAGTTATGAGTGTTGGTGCTTAAAATCAGTAACGTCAACCTAGGAGTGATTTGCAAGAAAGTGTGCCACTCGCTTTACATTGCTGAATAGCAAAATCTTAGTCTACCCCTACATGTGACTACGCCAAAGGTGCGTTTTCCTGGCCTTCGGGTCCCTGTTGTAATATGATCCTCTAATCACTATTCTGTAAAAAATGGCACTCCTATTTTCTGGTAAAAATTTGCACTTATTCCCAGAGAACAAAGAAACACTTGGTCCAATCAACGTTTGTCAGCAGTTAAGATGCTTGTCCAATCAGCAAACGCAACCAATCAGAACTGGTTAGCTAATGGCTTTTAGGACTACGGAGAAGGAAAGGCTAGGGAAGATTTTGTTTAAGCATTTATTTGTAAGAGTTAGGAAATAGATTTAAGGATACTAAACTGGTGAGTGACGTTTACTTATAGGTCGGTTCCGGCTCGAGGGTGCACAATATAAAAAAACAAAAAACAAAAGAAAAACAAAAACTGTTGACAGTCCACAGGGAATTGCGACAAAGGCCATGCCTCTGACGGGCCTGAAACCCTAGGAAAAAGATGGACAATCTCACCTGCTGTTTACAATATCGGATAACCTGCTGCAAGGTCAGCTATGCCAGTTCCTATTGGACCTCAGTGAGTTGAAGTGGCCTCAAACATGTTCTGAAAACAGCATTGTAGTTACCACTAAGAATGATTTGTCTCAACACCAACTTTTTCAATCTCAATGTTGGGCAGGGAGGAAAATGGATTCAGACTCGGTCAAAATATTCAGGCATTGGATTCAGGGGAAATAACACGCTGATTTAGGTAGAAAAGACATTCAGTAGTTAGCCACATTTCTTTTTTCCTTCCCAGGAGAACAGGTACCTGCTTTTTTAAAAATAGGAGAAAAATGGAAGTAAAGAAGGCGATACTCATCCCTGGCTCATCCTTCACAGGCCACCACAGGTGAGTACACTTGGCCTCCTCCTGCTGAGGACCAAGACTCTAATTGGGCATTATAGTTCTCTGATCTCTGCAGTTTTAAACACCAAAACTGTTTAGCATTCTCCGCTTGGCTCTTCCTTAATTTATTGCTCTGCCGGATTTTTCTTTCTACTCTTTTCTTCCGCCCAACCCTGGTATAATATTCCCCAAGTTTCTGGCCTTACCCCTTTCTTTGTTCATTTTCTTAAAGATCTCATCCTAAACTGCTGAGATTCCTGGCACTCTTAGCCTACATAATTCTCTTACACCTCGCAAACAAGCCATCGAACCAGTTTGGTTTGTGTTATGAAGTCGAATTGAGCTCCATAGAAGTTTCTTGGCTATAATCTTGACCAAATTGTATGGCTAGGTCTCTAGCCCATAATGCTGCAGGTTGGGTTCAAACTGCCACCGCCTTGGTTAGTGGTCTAGTAGTCACAGACTGCTTGCACCTTTCTTGATTAAAGCTCTAGAATTGACTTACTGACTTTCTAATAATGATTGACTTTCTGGAATTTTCTGTTCTCTACTGGTTCTAATTCCTTACGATTTCCGAATGTTATTATTGTGATTTTAGGTGTCATCAAGTCGAGAATGGCTCATAGTGACCCTATGAAGAGCCAACTTGAACCCTGCCCTATCCTGTGTGATACTCATCATCTCAGAAAGACTCAGTTCTGGTATATTCATGTTATATTCTGGTATATTTACCTAAATCTGATTTGAGTCATGGTGGAATAATGTGTAAGTTGCCAAGCAGCTAACCATCAGATTGACATTCAAATCTATCAAATACTCGCTAGGAGAAAGATGGATATTGCACTTTCTCTGACCAGCAGGTAGGTATCACAATTGGAATAGACTACACAAGGCTTTCCTTACTCTAGAGCTAATGGGAGAGGGACTCATGTTTGAGTGTCCCCATGACCTGTAGGCCTCATAGCTTTTATTGAGAAATTTTTAATTACATAAGCACTAAAATGTTAACTGGACTCTAAGATGTTCTTTATTGTTTCTTATGTGTTGGCCTCCCCTGTTTCCATAACTACATCATTATCAAGACAGCAGCTTCAGCATCAGCATGAGAATTAAGGTTATCCTGTCCCACTGCTAATATTTGTCTTAAGACAGGTAGTGCCTGCCTTGGTCAGTTTAACCCCTACAGATGGACAGATTTAACAGTAGTGAATGCTGTTCTGGGGTTTTTGCTGTGTTTTAGGGAATTGGTAGCATTTTTTTGTAAAGAAAAAATAGTCTAGAGCATACCGTTATATTGTTCTTATGTGCCTTCTAGTGGATTTTTAGAGGCAGTAAATCACATGGGAAGAAACTGTGCACCTTTCTTCTGCAGACCAGCTAGTGAATTTGAATTTGTGCCTTTGAATTGCTAGGCCAATAGAGCACTATAGCACACACTAGCTGTTTTAAAACTTTTATTCAATTAATAACTATTTTCTCATAGCAAACTTGTGAATAAAACTATTTCATTCCTAAAAATCATTCAGCATAATTTGAATATTCATATGCATGAATATGAATCCTGTGTTTGAGGCTCTACATCAGGTCAAGTGAGGAGGGAGCAACTAATTGTGAAAAATAAATATTAGGGCAAGGAAAATATTAAAAAAGAATATTTTAGTGATGGTTGTTCAGCTAAGTAAATATACTGAAAAGTATTATGCCAGGGTGGGGAAGGGAGGCACTTAATTACACCAAGAAATGATCACCAGGAATTGAGTGCATTCTTTTGGACTTCTTGAAGTAGGGAAGACCAGAACACTTGGAGATCTCTAGGGGAAACTGGGGCCACATATGCTGAGGGAAACAAAGATTTTACTCCAATTGAGGGTGGGGGGGGGGTGGCGGAGGAGACCTTCCCCTAGAGTTTGCATCCTGAATTTGGACTTCTAGTCTTTAAAACGACAAGAAAATTAATTTTGGTAAAAGGAACAAAAAAAGTTTTCTTAAAGATTCTGAAAACCCTTCAGACCAATTTTACTTCCTAACAAGGGGGTGGTTTTTAAGTTGGAATCAACTCCATGGTACTGGATTGTTTTTCTTTTAACCTACCCTGTGCCAGGCTCTGGTGGCCTGGTGGTAAAAAGTTGTGCTGCAGTTCTGAAGGGACAGAGTTCAAATCCACCAGCTGCTCTGCAGAAGGATGGGTAATCTCCTCCCAAGCGATTAATTATTTGCCTCTGAAAAGTCACTAGAGAAAGTACAACACTTTACATCTTTCTCCTAGAGAATAGATAGATTTGAATATCAACCTGATGGTTAGCTGCTTGGCAATTCATGCACTATCCCAAGACTCAGATCAGCTATGGGTCAGTTCCAATGGGATGTTACTATTACTAGTGGTCTAGTGGTAAACAGTTCCACTACCAAACCAAAGGCAGGAAGTTCAAATATATTTCTTGGGGGAAAGTGAGCAATCTTCTCTTGCACAATTTGGTGTCAGCTAAAGTTTATTCTGACTCTAAGGCGTCTAACAACGATATGGTAGGGTTCACCCATCCGGCAAAGAGGCAAGTATCAAAACCCCACTGCTTCCCAAAGGAGCCCTGGTGATGAGGTACTTAATATACCCAGTTTGAACCCACCGTTATAAAGATGCATAAAGCTCTATATAAAGGCTAACAGTCTCAGAAACATAGGAAACATGCACGCACGGTAGCCAGAGAAGGCCTCACTGCTGAAGTGTGGAGGTAAACTCTGATATAGCGGAATGCAAACTCAGAACAGACAGTATAATCTCGAGTCGGGAGTATGTGCAAGAAGCTTAAAGAAAGAGGGTCATTTTAGCTGGACCTGTGTTAAAGAGAAGCCCTGTTTAAGAGTACATACCTGCTGATAAAGAGACGCTTCAACCCACCACCCACTTAAGGTAGCAGCCGGTTTGCGTTGATCGGCAGTCGAGAACCCAACAGGACCTTGAGAACGGACTGAAATCTTGCCCATCAAATTTAGAACTTCTCTTGCCTAAGGAAAAGCTTTTTATCCCCCTAAGGACATCCCGACAAGAGGGGGCGCAAGCGAGCATACTAAAACTTTGGCTTTACAAACTTAGGTGCCCAGCTCTTATAGTAAATCAGTGGGTGGCCCTAAAAAGGGCCGTTGAGGTTTCTATAAAAATAACTTTAGCCGCCAAAGCCGTAAAGGGTTCGTCCCTGGCGCTTGAGCGCGTAGACCACGTCCATGGCGGTGACGGTCTTGCGCTTGGCGTGCTCGGTGTAGGTGACGGCGTCCCGGATCACGTTCTCCAGGAACACCTTCAGCACCCCGCGGGTCTCCTCGTAGATGAGGCCGGAGATGCGCTTGACGCCGCCGCGCCGGGCCAGGCGGCGGATGGCGGGCTTGGTGATGCCCTGGATGTTGTCGCGCAGAACCTTACGATGGCGCTTGGCGCCCCCTTTTCCAAGGCCCTTCCCGCCTTTACCACGACCAGACATGTCTCGTCACAAATGGTAACTAAAAGTGAGTGGAGAAGAGCGAGCGGTTACTTACATATCCAGTTCGCTCCGCCCTCACCCCGCCCTCATGCAGGGAACGGAAAACGCGCAGGCGGGAAAGGTGTGACGTCAATAGGCCCCGCCCTTACACCCTCCAAGCTTTGTGCAGTCAGGGGGGAGGGGGAGGAGTAAGTGACGTCAGTTGTCCGCGCCTTTAAACGCTCCTCCTGGTCAATTAAGGCGCGAAATTTGCTGCTAACAGCCTCCTCCCTAAAATTGTGTTCAGAATTAGCGGGAGTTGGGCGGTATTTTGTTGAGTTCCGCATTTAGGGACCTAAATACATACATAACAATAGTCACAGATAAAAGCCCATCAGGTTATTCTAGGAATGCTGTAGAATCTTTGCGTTTAGGGTAGCTGGTTTTCGTGATAGGGCTAATGCCCAGGGAATCTTTACGTCTACAAAACATTTTGATTTTGCAGCTAATTCTAAAAAGGTATAGAGTGCACTTCAAAGGTTCTTTTGATTACTGTACTTAAATAACTGGAGGTTTCTTACAGCTATTTTACTTGATAATGTGGGTGGCTCTGAAAAGAGCCTTTTGGTTGGAAGGGTTGTAAGAACACTTGTGATTTCTGAAATTATGCCCTTTCCCCTCGGATGCGGCGAGCGAGCTGGATGTCCTTGGGCATGATGGTGACACGCTTGGCGTGGATGGCGCACAGGTTGGTGTCCTCAAAGAGCCCCACCAGGTAGGCCTCGCACGCCTCCTGCAGCGCCATGACGGCCGAGCTCTGGAAGCGCAGGTCGGTCTTGAAGTCCTGGGCGATCTCGCGCACCAGGCGCTGGAAGGGCAGCTTGCGGATCAGCAGCTCAGTGGACTTCTGGTAACGCCGGATCTCGCGCAGGGCAACGGTGCCAGGCCGATAACGATGGGGTTTTTTGACGCCGCCGGTGGCAGGCGCGCTCTTGCGTGCAGCCTTAGTAGCTAATTGTTTGCGTGGGGCTTTGCCGCCAGTGGACTTACGAGCTGTCTGCTTAGTACGAGCCATGGTAAAAGCTGTGGAAAATAGCAGTATTTTGTTGCTGATACTTATAGTACCTGAGCTGTGGTGATTGGAAGAGAAAAATATTTAAATATCGTGCGTCATGTTCTGATTGGCCTATTCACAAGCTTTTCAGCAATAGTGGAGTGTCATTGGCTCATGTCTTCTATCCTGTTCCCTTCACATTTTACCCTGCTATTCTGAATGCAGTGCATTTAGATTTTTTCCCCCACCTCTAAAGATTTGTTTTAAATGCTATCATCGTATCCCAGTTTTGTAAAAGCCTTCAGATCTTGGGACTGGAATATTGCCCATTTCCCTCGTTATGCTCTTAATACTCACTAGAAGTATCTGAAGTCTTTTCTTACAAAATAAAGCGAATCTTTTGTATTGCCTAGTTGCCGATACTTACAATTAAATTGCACCAGCGTTCACGGAAATATTTTCTGTAAACACTATCTTTCCGGAAAAGACTTGTGAGAGGGTGGAGAGCTCAGTAGAATGTATATATAATTCTCTAAAATCCACATGCAAATATAGATCACTCTTTGCCCTCGTTTTTGTAGTTATCCGTCTTCGGGGAACAGAGTTGTTTTGTGCTACGGAGAATTTGCCCAAGAATTTGTTGAGGTTTGAATGGCCAGTTTCGAGTGGAGTGGGAAACTGGGTGTTTTACAACTATTGCTAGTGACTTAGTGCACTTAAAAATGACCCAGTAATTAAACAAAACCCTCGCTCTTCTTTTTTATCGCGCTTTCATAGAAAACGAACAGGTATCGCTAAATGCCAACTCTGAGAACTTTATTATGAGGAATACATCACGGTTCTTAGTTCGGCCACGTCTCAAAAAGGAACCTCTTTTATTGGTTAAAAGACCTTCATAAAGGAGCCAATAAAAAGACCCGGTCTAGTCACTTCATTTGCATAGAGCCATTCCATTATTTGAATTCAATTTAATGAGATTGTAGGAGACAAACCATAATTGGAGTGAAATGAATAATAGAATTTCTCTTGAATCAACTAACTCATTTTTTTTCTTTTTTAAAGCAGCATTTGACATTACGTAATTTTAAAAATTAGCAGTCTTCAGGAAAATTCATTTGTAAAATAATGGCAAACAAGTTTACAGAACATGTGTCGCGAAATCTCTTCCAAAACTTGTGAGTTAGTATTATCTCTAGTTGCTAAGCATTTAGCTTGATAAATGGAAGGAGAAATGGCCCAGTTTGCATCCTACAATTGCAGACTTTGTTGAAAACATGCTCCTGCGCTTACACAAATAGTCTGGCATAAGTCATATACTTGTTCTGGGAATGCTAGGAGCTAGGTCCATTGGGCAGGAGCGTGTAGTGAGGCATTGTGTTGAGGCTTAACAATATATTTTTTTTTTTAACTATTCTGCTCTGAAGTGTTTTAGCATCTTATTGCTTCTGGATGATCCTTTACAAGTTTAAGAGGGATTGTCCTAAAATGTTACTTGTAAGAGGCTTGCTTTCCTAATAAAGGCAAGGTTAATAACTTCAGTCATAAAACTTGTCAGGGAATTGCATGAAACATTGAGTATTTCTTTATTTCAGCTAAAGTATGTACCACTTCGAGCGCTAAATATTTCCTAGTTTAAAGTAAAAATGTATGATAGCATATTCTCCCATGAAAATGTTTGAGTCTGTCTGAAATATATTGTAGAAATGATTATTAAAATTTCCCTGAACTATACTGAAATACAAGAATACCTGATACCTACTGAAAGGACATCTGATCTAACATGCCACTGCCTCTACATATAGAACCATGACTCTAAATATAGTGCAAATGTTACTGCAGTGTTAGTTCTGGAGTTGAAGGTGAAGTTGTTATGTGACTGGAGTTTAGATTGGCTCTTTCTATTTACAAATCAAAAGTCTATAGCCAGAGAGACCTTTTCAAACTATATTGAGGAGTAATGATGTCAGCTTGAGGACTAAAGTGTGCCAGTTTCAGGCCATGGTCTTTTCAATCATTTGTTATGCATCTGAGAGCTGGACAATGAAAAATAAAATGACAAGAATTGATGTCTTTCAACTGTTGTGTTTGGCGAAGTGCCAAAATAACAAACAACTATGTCCTGGAGAAAGTGCAGCCAGAGTGCCCCTTGGAGGCAAGGATGATAAAACTGTTTTACACAATACCAGCATGTTGCTAGGATAGATTATTCCTTGGAGAGGAACATCATGCTTGGGAAAGTGGTGGATCGGTGAGAGGAAGACTGTCAACCAGATTGATACAGTGATTGCTGAAGTGGGCTCTAGTGTGTCAGGAATTGTGAGGATGGAACAGGATAGGGCAGGGTTCACATCTGTTATTCCAGGGGTCACTATGGATCATGGATCATACTCCACCGCACAACCAAAGAACAATTTACAAAACCAAGCACTACCTGCTTTCTGGAAGGAAAAACAGCACTCTGACATAACTGGGCAACAGAGGCAGGCATTTCTCCATCCAGTGATTCATATTTCTACGTGGAAAAGCCCAAGGACTTTGGAGAACCATGTCTAGGTGTGTTTGCACCAAGAAAGACAATGGCTCTGTTTGCTAAATCTGGAGCCTCCTGAGATTTGGCGACCTAGGCAGGGGGCGCGGTGGTTGTTGGGAGCAAACACATTAGCGCACCAATCACCGCACGGCCCCGCCCTATAAATACCAGGAGCCTGAGGCTTGCTCCTTATCCTGTCTTCTCAGGTTCTAGTGGTTGTTTCTGTGTCCTGTTGTCAGCATGTCTGAGACTGCTCCTGCTCCTCCGGTGGCTCCTACGCCCCCTGAGAAAACTACTGCCAAGAAGACCAAGAAGCCGGCAAAGGCTGCTACTTCAGCCTCCGCGGCTAAGAAGAAGCCCGCCGGACCTTCGGTGTCTGAACTTATAGTTCAGGCTGTTTCCACTTCCAAGGAGCGTAGCGGCGTGTCGCTGGCTGCGCTCAAAAAGGCATTGGCGGCCTCCGGCTACGATGTGGAGAAGAATAACAGCCGCATCAAACTGGGGCTGAAGAGCCTAGTGAGCAAAGGTACCCTGGTTCAGACCAAGGGCACCGGCGCCTCTGGCTCCTTCAAGATCAACAAGAAAGCTACCTCTGCGGAAGCCAAACCCAGTAATACAAAGGCTGCCGCAAAAGTTAAGGCAACGGGCACCAAGAAACCGAAAAAGCCTATTGCAGCTACTAAGAAAACTGTTAAGGCTCCGAAAAAGGCGAAACCTGCGGCGGCAAAAAAGCCTTCAAAGAGTCCCAAGAAGATCGTGAAAGCTAAGAAAGTAGCTAAGAACCCTGCGAAAGCCAAGGCGGTGAAGCCTAAAGCTGCTAAGGCAAAGGTGACCAAGCCAAAGACGGCTGCCAAGCCGAAGAAGGCAGCTCCGAAAAAAAAGTAAAAGTTCTGGTTGGAAGCTTCTTCAATAACCAAACGGCTCTTTTAAGAGCCACCTACACACTTCATAAAAAGAGCTTTAGCAGATTTTTCTGCTAACTAGGCGGTTGGGAATAGTCCTTTCGCCACTGGTGACATCCACCCAGGCGGCTGAATTGAATGCACTACCTGCTCCACAGCTGAAAGCTGGCTGCCTGTATCCAAGAATCAATCCCCAGAGTTCTCTGGAACCAGGCGTCTATAAGCAATTCCCTCCCCTACATGTGCAGTGTTTACCCCTTCCGTGGCTACCATCCTAAAGCGAAGTTTTCCAAAAACCGAAGTCCTTGTGTGGTGATCAGGAACACCTTGCAAATGTGGCAGGCAAAGAGCTCAGATGTCTCTCAGCGTTGGCGGGCCCTAGTAATTCTGCACGCCTGCAGTTCTGTAATCTGCAGCTTTTTTGCGCGGGCTCCCGCTCTTAGAGGCCAGGCCCAAACAAAGGAACTTGAGTGCCATGGCATTTTAGGAACCAATCTTTTAACATTTTTGCTTGGTTTTTATCAGCATGTTTATAAAATGAGACCCGCCAAAATTGGATATTTGAAAATCCACTCAGCCCAACTAAAGCGTGTTTCATAGAGCGCAGGTTTTCAGCCATGGTGACACTGTCCCATATTAACACTGGGAACCCTTTCTTTGAACTGCCCTTTTGAGCTTTTGAAATGTAAACAAAATTCTGGGATTTATATTTTAATAATTTGTCTATTTTGTTCATTTCTGAATAAAAATCAGTTGTAGTCTGAAGCTTAATTAGCTGTGGAAGTTAAGTTTTACAGTGTTTTTAATCGTTTTTACCTCTCCCCATCTCTGTTGTTTGACCTGGTCCCCCCCTCCCCCCACCTCCGCGCCTTTTCACATACGGGCATTTTACATTCTTGCTCCCCCACCTCCTCTAATTCATTTTCACAACTAGTCAATAGTCATTGACCTTTTCCTTTTAACTTGGAATTTTACATATATTCATATACTTGCAGCTTATGTGTGCACCTTGTTTGATTTTCCAGTTAGATTTTTGTTGCAGTTTTTAACAACAACAAAAATGGCATTATACACACTTCCCTACATCTTTTTTCTCTTTTCAAACCTTTTTGTCAATGCGTTATACTTTCTCGTTTTGAAAACGATCTTTTATGTGAAGGAGCATAATTTACTGATCCGTGTCCTAATGAAAACCATTCACCTTATTTCCAATTACCTCTGGAGCAAGGTGCAAGAAACAAAGAGTCCCCAGAGTGGAACTGCAAACTGAGAGTGCATTTTAAATTTTAAAGGAGGTTCTGGCATATCTTGACAACTCACACTTCAACAGTAAGTGAACAGTCCCCTTAACCATTACAACCAAGACAGCTCCTGCCAAACTAAAGGGTGCAAAATTATCTCTTTTGTCACTAGATTTACATCAACGTAGACAATGCAAAATTTCTTTAGATTTACTATTTTAATATGCTATTCAGGTAATTACCCTCTTAAACCTCATTTTTGTCTTATTCATTGAGTAATTTGTCTTTCAGTTTTGCTTTATTTTGTATTAACTTTATATTTACCACCTGTGTTGCAGAGATTTGGCTGTTTTAAGCATTCCCCCTCTCCAACCCTTGCATATAGTCTTTATGGTATACTTTCTGTTAGATTGAAGTTATGTGTAAGTGACATGTATGTTATTAGGTGCCATTGAGTTGAGTCTGGCCCAAAGCAATCCTATGAACAACAGATCTGAACCTTGTCCTATCCTGTGCCATCCTCAGACTTTCTGACATACTAGAGCCCATTGCAGCAGTTACTGTGTCAAATCTATCTGGTTGAAGGTCTTCATGTCTTTCACCGACCCTCCACTTTTCTAAGCATGATGAGAAAAGATTGAAGTTGCCAGTAATTTCATTTTTCTTGTATCCACCATCAACATTCTTGGTAACAACAGGCAAGAAATTAGGAAATATACTGCACTGGGATAGTCTGCAGTTGGGGCATCTCCAAATTACTGAGGAGCAATGATATCGGTTTGAGGACCAAGGTATATTGTATTCAGTCCATGGTTTTTCCCATCACTCGCTATTCATTGAGAGATAGACAATGAACAGGATGACAGAAGAAGAATTGATGTTTTTGAGCTGTGGTGTTGGAGAAGAGTACTGGATATCCCATGGATTGCCAAAAGAACAAACAGATATGTCTTGAGGAAAGTGCAGTCAGAGTGCTCCTTGGAGACACAGATGATAAAAGCTCGATCTCACATATTGCCAGCATGTTGCTAGAAGAGGCTATTTATTGAAAAGGGACATCATGCTTGGAAAGGTAGACATGTATATGTTGTTGTTGTTGAGTCAAGTACAACTTATAGTGACCCTATGAACAAAGACCTGATGCCTTTCTATAACTATCATTGTTTCTCAAAGTTCTAGAGTTTCCAGAGGCATATGTTTAGGAAGTAGATGCCATTCCTGCTTCTAAACCTGTCTTAAACAAGGGAGCTCCACCAAACATTGTCCACCATAGGTAACTGTTATGGCATTTGGCATACCAATAGCACAAGGTTCAGCATCACAGCAACCCCAGTTTACCTCAGTATAACAAATTGACAGAAGAGTGCTGTACTACATAGAAGAATGTTTTTCCAAAATATAATAACAACCAACTTTTAAATATAAAGGCCCTCCTTGAGGTTTTGTTGACTCTAAATAAGAGGCTTAAATAAAAACCAACATAATCTGTTGTTGTTATATACCATCGAGTCACCCCATAGTGATCCTATGTACAGTATCTCTGAACTCTTCCCTGTCCAGAGCCAGTCTCATTAATTCCAAGACACCAACTCCCATTGCCCTAGTTATCATGTCAAAGACTCTTCTCTAGCACCACAACTTGAAGGCATCTATTCTTCTTCTGTCATCCTTGGTCATTGCCCAGCTCTCTGAAGCATAACAAGTAATTGTGAAGACCATTGCCTGGATTAGGTGCACCTTAGTCTCTAGATTGACATTGTTACTTTTCAGTACTCTGGAGAGGCACCTGATTTTCCCAATGCAGTTCGTCTTTTGGTTCTCAGACAACTGGTGTTAAGAGTGTTAATCATGGAACTGAGCTAGCTTTAATTGCTAACAACTTCAATCTCTATCTATCATGATGCTGCCAATTAGCCCAGTGATATTGAAGACTATAGTCCTTGACTTTCTGCAGCAAGCGCTTCAGGTCTTCTTTAGTTTCAGCAAGCAAGGTTGTATCATCTGCATATCATAGGTTGTTGATGAGTATTCCTCCAATCTTGATACCACATTCCTCCTCATAAAGCCCTGCTTCCTGAATGATCTGTTCGGAATACAGATTAATAGGTATGGGGCCAGAATGCATCCCTGACACATTCCTTTCCTGATGTAGCACCATGCAGTGTTTCCTTGCTTTGTTCTGAGGACTCCTTCCTGGTCCAAGTATAGGTTTCGCATAAGCACAATCAAAGACATGTATATAGAGAAATGTTAAAATACTAAATGTGCTACCAATACAAAAATGGTTGTTATGTATCATAGAGTTCGAACTGACCCATAGCTGACCCTCCAGAGGGTTTTCCGAGGCATTTAATCTCACAGGAGAAGACTGCCTATCCTACTGCCACAAAGCAGCTGGTAGGTGTGAACTACATGGCTTCAGAATTGCAATGAAGCTTCAAATGAAAAATGTGGACAATCTCTTCCTGGGCTATTTACTGCTTTTGAAAACTTGATGGATGTTCAACTATGGATTGGTTCTAACTCGACAGTGCACAACAACAACAATCTTTTAATTACATTTTAACATCTTCTACATTTCCACTCTTGTTTAAGAGAGAGGACCAACTCCTTCTGTATTTAGGCAGACTTCTAGATATTTTTTAAAAAAATTTTATTTATTTAAAAATGAAAGTTTTTCTTAAATATTTTAAGAATCTTAAAATGTTAAGAAATATAAGATTTCCTTTACTCGGTCTTAAAATTTGAGTTTACACTCTTCCATAGAGATGGCTAGTTGTTCTCGCATCACTCATTAAATAATCCATTTACCAACTGAACAGAAATATGCCACCTTTGTTATTTATTACATTCTTATAATACCTATTTCTGAATTCTTACTCTCCTGTACTGATTGTTTTGCCTATTCCTTTTTTCAATATCACATTAATTTTATGGCATTGTGTGATTTTGATATCCTGGCTTTATGCTCTGATATCCATGGTAACAAGATCCCATACAATTGTATAAAATTTCTCAGCCATTCTTTAGCATGTATATTTCCTTATTACATTTTAAACCACATTAGCCAACATTCAAAATACCTCTGTTAATGTCTTAGTTATCTATCATTGCCATAAGATAGGACAAATAGAAATTTATTCCCTTACAATTTAGAAGGCTCAACTCACTCATTGCCTTGGAATGAGAACCAACTCAAAAATGTTTTCAAGATAGAGTATGTCTGATTAGGTGCCAGACATAATTTAATTACCAAGGGCATGCACTGTAGGTTTCTTTCTCTTCACTGCTTTCTCTGGAAGATCATGTAGTGCTCATTCTTTTTGCTTCTGCACATGAATGCTTTTGCAGATAATTTAAAGCAGGGCTTGGTAGTAAAGTGAAAAGTTGTTAGGCAGGAACATCTCAATAACAAGAAGACAAGGTCCTCACTACTGAGCCAAAAGGCAATATCATGATAAATGGGGAAAAAAGACTAAAGTTTGTCAGTGATGTAATCTTCCTTGGATCCACAACTAACACTCTTGGCACCAGCAGCCAAGAAATCAAAAGATATACTGGATAAGGTGTTAAGGAGAAATGATATCAGTTTAAAGACTAAAGTGCATCCAATTAAAGTTATGGTCATTTCAGTTCCTACATTTTTTAGGATGTATGAATGTAGGAAAATTAGAAATTGTTAAGAAAGAAATGGAATGCATAAATATTGACACGCTAGGCATTGGAGAGATGAGATGGGCTG